TCTGCGTCATTGAGTCTTGGGATTAGAGGTGTGCACCACCACCTCTTGGAGAATTAACTCTTTTCAGTAGAGTATTGTGTACAGAAGAAAAAGTTAAGCCTATTATAACTATATGTTTTTATTACATTAATAGCATGAAAAGATTAATTACCAAGAGAAATAACAAAGAAAATAACTATTAATTAAAATTCAACAAATACTTGCATTATCAAAATTCTATTTGTTATTTTTGGTTTGTAGAAACAACGATAATGCTTAGCAAATTAATAAAATGTTGACATTTCTAACATGATTCTAAAATTTGATTGCAATATTAAAAATGAGAAAATGATCCAATGAATCTCTTCTTATGTTGAATAATCCCAGTGCTTTTGATCTTATTTTAATTAATGTAATCATTTGGGAATATGAAAAAAACTATGAAGATCTGTGTGCATTTAGTAACATTGCATTTGATATTTAATACATGAAATATGTATATAATTATTTACAGACTCAAGAAAAAAGTTTTACTCACCAAATATAAACAACAGACTGCTCTGTTCTGTAGTTATATGCTTATTTGAAATGCATGAATAAGAATATTTGTTATTAATTCTTCCCATCTGTTGTGTGATTATTACACAAAATAACAATGCCTATTTCCATGTAAGCATAGAAAACACATGCATGCAATAGCTCCCCTTGTGCACAACTTCTGTAAGTCCCAAACCACTTACCTACTTTGTTTTTCACATCATGTGTGTTTTAGATTTTTGCTTTTGAGTGTATGACTCAATTCTTGCCTCTAGGCCAAAAATAACAGAAAAAAATTAAAATCTGACAACATTTTTCTATGCCCAATTCTCTAGCATGCATTGCCAGATTTCAAAGGATTTATTTTAGATAATCATGTAAAGGCTCTAATTAGTCTAAATAGAATAAGATATTATTTTCTTAGATATTTCACTTGTATTTCTATTGTATTGTAGCCAGTTGTTGTTTATGATTTGGGGCAATAGACCCTGATGCTAATTTAACACCTGTCTTCAGCGGATATTGAAAAGTTCTCTCTGAGTGTGGTCCCTAAGACCCATTCAATTCAAGTCAGAAGGGATTTGCACATTTGCAGTGGATGAATAAGATTTCATTCCATGGCAATGCTCATGTGCATTCTGTTAGAGATTTCAAATATGATAAATACAAGTATTTTCTAGAAAAACAAAGCTGATTTGGCAGACTGACTTCAGCAAGGGGTTTGGGGAGTTACACTTTGATAGTGTTTATATAATCTGCTTAATGAGCACTTGTCCAAAAACGTGCTCTCATTTTCTGATGACTGAAATACATGTTTTAAACTGAGATTTTTTTCAAAAATTATATTTTTGTTTTGTTCTCCAAGAATAATCTAAAAACTTTTTTCTTTAATTTTTTTCTGTGATAAAGCAAACACCGGAAATTTTTCTTTTGAAAAATAATTTTTCAGAAACAGAATTGAGCCTGATTTTAATTTGTTTATTAGAACAAGAATAAACAATAGTATCATTAAATATTTTAAAATTTAGTTCATGAGTTAAAAATTCAGTAATTATATTCTATTTTACTTGATCATTTCTCAATAATTGTAATTGCACACAAAATCAGTCAAGATAATTATGGGTAAAGGGTTTAAAGCTAGAATGACAGTATAATACAGAGAGATGAGTATTAATTTTTTCTTTGATACTGTGCTTTGGAGCTTAAAGGTAATTATTTAGTTATTTCTGTGGCTTCATATATAAAATAAATATAATAATGATTTTTGTAATTTATCATTATATCATAAGAATAAAATTATCAATGGATTTAACTCACAAAATTTAAGGTTACAAAGTTTACACAAAGGGAATATTAATATTTTTAAAGTTAAAGAAACTTCTTCAATACCACTCTCATTCCTGATAAAAATTTCCAGCTTAGATTTTCCAATATCATAACTTTAGACTCAAAATTCAATATCCAGCTCAAATCTACCTTCAGTTTCATTAATAGACAAGAAGGATTAGGTATAGGAATCTAAGCCTGCTATGTTCACAGTGACAGTTCATGTTAGGAAAGGATGCACAACAAAACCAGCAAGAGAAATATCAGATGGGGTGCAGTCCAAGCTACACATGCCATGAAATTTTTCATTATTCACTTTTAGTGCAGCCAAAGTTTCAACCTTTTCGACAATGCACAGTACTGATGGAATGCTGGTAAAGAGGGTAGCTCCTCTGGGTTTTGGTGTCCAGTCTGCTGGAGTTGTATCCTAAAATCATGGTTGAATGAATGTGTGTGTGTGAGAGGGATGGGGGACAGGAGGATGAGAAAGAGAAAGAGTTCCAAATGTGAAATGTTGGTTGTGGGAGTGGAAGCTAGGATCAACTTTGGTTGCCTTCTTTGGTAACTTTCTCCCTTGGTTTCATGAGACAGCATCTCTCAGTGGGAAATATCTCAATGAAAGTAGTCTGGCTGGCTTTTGAATCCACTTATCTCAGCTGATCCAGCAATGTGACTACATGTGTGTACTATAAACTTCAGCTTTTTATGTGCACGCTGGAATTCAAGCCCAGATCCTTTACACTTACTCATCAATCACTTTACCCACTAAGCCATCTCCTCAGGATTGATTTTTTATTCTGATGACTACCATTGTTTTCTAGCCCCTGTAGAAGTAGAGATGATTCCATGAGGCTCAAAGTGTCCTGAGTAAATCATATTATTAGAGTGCCCAGCACATTGTCTAGCCAAACAATGACTCATTTCATCAGGCAGACATTAAAATGCTGATAACACTCAGGAAATGATGGCAGAGGTAATATTTCTGTTTGGCTAAAAAAAAAGTACAATATTGAAAATTAAAAATTAAGATATAAATATCAGTATATCATTGTGAAAACCCAACAGCATCGGCAAAAACAGACATAGTAATTGCTTCTGTGCATTTTGTTTAGTGGTCAATATTGCATAGTTTTTCATAAGTATTGACATAAAGTGGTCATTTCTAGAAGCAAAATGTTAACCATGCATTTATAGCTTTTATTTGAATGTACTACTAATTAGAAGTTTATTGACTATTTGAATACCTAGTGACATTCTTCAATTATAGAAAAGAATGTGGCTTTCATTTTGAACTTACTTATAATAAACATATTAGGATTGTGATTAACATATTCAGTATAATCTTTAGCCTTTAATCTAAATTGAATTTTAGGTATTGATTTATACCAATGAGTTACTCATATGTTATTTTAAAAACAGCCCTGTTGGCATAAATGCTAAGTACTAATTTACATATCATTGTGAAAGAAATAACCTTTCTTTTTAATTGTTAAGTTTCAGAAATGGCTCCGAACTGTACAGACAAGCAGTTTTGCACATTCATTTCAATCATCTTGATAATAAGTGTAAAGAGATAAAAGCTACTCTATTTCTTAGACTGTATTGTTCAACCTGTACAAGTGTTTCAATTACCATAATTTTGAAAAAAAAAGTTTTATAGCTTAAAATTCTAAGGTAATATATTCTCTTTCTTGTATTCAATTTCATTTCTGTATTCAGACGTAGGTATCTGACAGCTGCCTTTGAATATGTTTTGTAGGTATTTGAAAGGAGCAAAGTATAGGGTAGAAAGAAAAAAGAATGAATTTGCTTCTGACAGCCTATCATGTGATAAGAAAGAAGATATTTTGTGTATTATATGGGACTTTGATCAAAGTAACGTTGAGCTTCAGATGCTTCCTTATTATTTAAGTTTACATTTTAAAAATCACATGAAATTCAACATCCTGTGCACATGTTTACTAGTTTCTTGTCAAAAAAATATATCAATTACATACTGATACCAGGATTCTGGTGACTAAAATTGCAAATAGGCTCCATCCTCTAAGACATGAATGTGTAGTAGGATCATATCTCAAATAAAAGTGAGTCATGTTGTAACCAAATAAAAAATAACATGCCAGGTTCATAGTCATTATTGTTACTGTTTGGAGTTGAATATTGACCCTGTTTTCTTTCATGGATGCCATCAAGAACAAGTTTGTTTAGAGCTATTATATTGAGAAAATTATATTATATTAGTTGAGAAAATTCTTTTATCATCTTAGTGGTTATTTTTATTTTTTTTAACCTTTCATTGACCATCACATGGTCTTAACAAAGTCTAGGAAGTGCAAAATATATGCTTTTTGTTCTGCTTTCTGAAACACTACATTCTTCACTCCCAATTTCCCCACAACTTTCTAAGTTGTACCATTATTTATCTAATTGTTCAAATCTCAAATCTCTTAAATTATTAATTGTTCTTTCAAACCAACTAATGATTGAAATAGCAGGTTACAGCAACTGTATAAATATATCTTTGGAGTTCAATTTGCTCTGTTGGTTTTTAACATTAAAGGTGTCCTTGCAACATTGCTACACATTAGTGAGTGTAACAACTCATTGGACTATGCTTTCTTGAAAATTATTACTGTTGTTTGGATAAAAATTGTAACTTAGATTCTTTCTATTCCAAGCATTTTCCTATTGCCACTTATAGTCATGCATATGTACTCATTCTAATTTTTCTTGAAGTGCAGTAGTACCTAAAATAGATCAGATTTGAAGAGTGTTGAGATATAACAGAAGCAAACTTTAAAATCGAAAATGAAATTGTACGATGAGCATCTCATTCATTATACCATAGTGAATTAGAATCTAAAAGTATAAATTTTAAAAAATAATATTTTCCACTACTTTTAAATTGTATGTATAAACTATTGAATATGAAGTTGAGAGGAATTATAGCCTGAAAAAATCTCAAAATAATTAATAATGACATACTGTTTGTTTGCCTTTATTTAGTTTATATTTTCTAAATTGTAAGTAATCTTTTCCTGGGAGGATGTATACAAATATCTGTTCTGCCCAAATAGAGCATGAAAACAGAACAATGTAAGAATTCCAACAAATGTAATTGGTAATCCAGTTAGTTTATTGCTCTAATTTGGGTCACTCCAAAATATTTACATTAGCATAAAGTGCTACCACATCAAATGTGTGGACCTCATAGAATCTTGCTCATGAAATCTCACCTTCTTTCCCACATATACTCTAGCATCTCCAACTATGGCTTGCAGCTCAGGGAAGTCTGGTGTGAGTATGGCTGATATTCCAGGTGAATGTCCTATGACCCTTTGCTTATTCCTTATAGTATGGAAAGTTAACAGCTCCACTACATTATCATAGACATACATATTACTGTATTGCCTTGGTACGTTCATTGTTGGACTCCTTGACTAAGACAACCTATACTCTAAGAGGAAAATGAGCTGACCAAAACAGTCTTGTTGAAAAAATCGAATATGACACTGGGGTTTCTTATAACGGGTAGAATAAACCAGTAATTGCTAAAAAAAAATAGATAATAATGTCTTGAGGAAAATTATGAGTCACTCATTCCAATGGAACATACCTTATAAAAGTTTAAAATAAAGAAAATTACAAGCATAAGAAGCTAATTGACTGCATAGAGAATCCTCTAAGTAATGCATGGTCATCACAGTATTGAAATCTACATACAAGCAATAGAAAGATATATTAATATATTACCACAAATAAAATTTAAATTGTAAGCCAGGTGGTTGTGGCACATGCCTTTATTCCCAGCACTCGGGAGGTAAAGCCAGGTAGATCTCTGTGAGTTCGAGGCCAGCCTGGTCTACAGAATGAGATCCAGGATACCAGGCACAAAAACTACACAGAGAAACCTGTTTCGAAAAACAAAAAAACACATAAAAATGTAAAATGTATTTGTTTAATGTTACTAGAATAATTCCTTGTGTCAACCCTACCCCTTCTAGTCTATGGCCATAGCGCATTATAAGTCATAGAATATTATGAAGAGGTCAAACCATTAAAATTGTTTTATATAAGTATTTATAAATAAAATATGTGAAAATAGAATGCACTGTAATCTGGGTGAATGCCATTTGACATGTTCTTATATTGCAATGTTAAGTTGTAAGCTGATGGTGGTAGGAGATGGAACTTTTGAAAGATGATGAGGTTAGAGAGTAGAATGAAATTGGTGTCCTTATAAAAGATACCTCAGTGATACCCTTGAACTTTCCTTTGTACAAAATTACAGTGAAAAGTCATCACTGGATACACATCTTGTTTCTTGGTTCCTATGACTGTTAGAAATAATTTTATTTTGTTGATAAAATATATTATTCAGGATATTTGTTAGAGTAACCTATATGTATTAATAACAATCCAATTATTAATTAACAGTTGTGTATAAAATTGAATTAAGTCACTCACAAACAAAGCTGGCATATTATTGACAACTTTGTCTCTAAATTCAAAAAGTTTACATAAGCATGCACATTTTATAATAAATTGAATTTATTATTTTAAGTATGTTTGCCTTCCATAACCCATGGCCAAATAACCATGTGGTATGATAAATCAGAACTGTTAATATATCAGGCAATATGAGAAAAATCTGAATTGCATTATTGTCTTTTGTATTTAAATGTTGTGGGTTATAGATAAATCTCTGATGAAAAAATAAAATATTTTTCTGTTTTACATTAAGCTTTTAATCAAATTTCTTATTATTTATTACAGTGTCTGAGTCATAAAAATGCTTATTATTCTATAATTTTTACATCAGCACAATACAAAACAGCAGTAGTATATATGATGCTCAAAATTCACTGAAAAATAGTATCTGTTCATATCACATTGCTATTAAATGAAGACCAGTGAATCTAAGAATCAGGACTACATTAAAAAAATTAATAGTCCTGACCTGAACCACATAGCTGAGACTATCACTAATAAAACTTATGGATCATAACTATGATTTTTGCTTTACTAACTAATGAGTTCAAAATTAAAGAATTATTAGAAGATTTACAGCATTTTTAGAAACAACTATTTACTTGTGTTAATATTCCTATTATGTTAATGTTCTGTGGGCATGATTCTTTAAGAAAATAATTATCACTATGCCTCAGGACTCATAGTTTGGCTATTTGTGTGAAATATCAAGAACAAAAGCCTAAAGTCCTATTCATGTGAAAAAAGTCCTTCAACCAAATGTACAAACAAAATATAAACTCATGCATATTTAATTTTCTTCTCTCCTCTAGGCAGTAGCAAATATCACACTTTTAGAATATTTAATTTACATAGCACAGATATGATTCAGAGTTAGAAACAACAATGACTGCTTGGGTTACAACTTCTCATGATCAAGAAACATGTCTTATTCATAGTGTGTCTTTATGTGTTAGCATCATGACGGAGACGGGAGAAAATAGAAAAGCATGTATTAGAAAAATAAATTATCTTGAGGATGAGAATCAGCTTATCACCATAAAAACTATCAAATGATTTACGAGCTAATCAAAATATAGATTTTAGGATTTTATGTTATAAATGAAAGTGACTTGAGGATAATTAAAATGAATATTTTATTACTATTTTTTTGTTAATCAGCTTTTTAAATATTTTTTGTTAATCAGCTTTTTCCTTGACAGGAAAGAATCATGAATCAAAAGAACATATATAATGACCTAATCTAAAAATGTTTCAGTTCATTTCAATTACATTATATAATATATTACATTATGTTAAATATTATATATTTTACATATTATTATGTTATGTTATGTTATATTATATTATATTACATTATATTGCCCTTGTTTTACTCAAGGATAATCTGAGAAGATCTAATGTCACCTACCCTCTGCATTTTTAGGTTTGACTTGGGATTACACAGGGCTTGTGTGTGCTATCATAACTTCTGTGAGTTTAAATAGCAGCTACCCTAATTCGTTCAGAAGATAGTTGGCTTGTAGTCATCTACTTTTTTTTCTAACACTTTTTGCAACATTTTCCTGCAATTAATCCAGAGCCATTGGAGGAGAGAGTGTGATATAGATGTCTCATTTAGGACTGAGCATTCTATAACCTCTTATTCTATGCACCTTGCCCAGGTGTAGGATTCTGTATTAAGAACCATCTACTGCAGATAAAAACTTCTCTGATGAGAGTAGAGAGGGGTCTTCATTTAGAAGTATAATGGGAATTGGTTAAAACTATGTCCATTTAGCAGAATAATAGATGTGGGCTCTCCCTTGTGGCTATAGCATGTCTAGTCATATGTTCTTGGTCTGATAATGATGTAAATTGTAGATTTCATCTTGTGGAGCAAGTCTTAAATACATTCAGAAAGTAGTTGGTTACCCCCATGATATTTGTGCCACTTTTGTACCAATGGCCATTTCTTGCCAAGCTGATCATTATTGTAGCCAGCAGGATTCATGCTGTGAAAGGTTGATAATTAATTTATCTTCTGATAGCATACATAGCATCTAGAATGATGGTACCTTACAGAATCCTAATCGTGCAAGCATTAAGATCAACTATTAGCAAGTGTGACCTCATGAAATTTAAAGCTTTTATCCTGTTTAAAAATTATTATCACTTTCTATTTCAAGAGTCATGACCTTAAGTATTTATTATTTCTTAGAATTGTATGCAAAACAATCATAATTTGAAATATTAGGAGATATTATTTTGAGTTTTACAGGTATTGTGACAGAAAATATCATTTTTTATTATTGTCACATCCTCACAGAATTTTATATGCTTCCATGGAGATAAATATTAAGTTCCTGTTATTCTGAGTGTGGTGGTACACATATGCAGTCACACACTTGAGAGGCTTGCCCAGAAGAATTATAAGTCAGAGATCAGGAAGAAATACATAGTGAGTTTCAAGCTAGCTTGGGAAGATATCTAGAACCTGACTCAAACAAACAAACAAATAACAAAGATTTAGTTAAATATTTCAATTTTACTTGTTCTTAAAGTTGTTTCATAGGAAATAAAATAATATACCATTTCATCTACCAATAAAGTAGCATAAAATGTTCTGATAAATTATATAGAATTACTTTAAAAAGAAAAAGTGTATATTGTTTCATTGGAAAATTAATAGCTGTGCATATATGGAATAATAGATGTTTAATACAAAGGTTAATTGGGCATAATGTGGGGATTTTCAGGTACCACATTTTGGACTGACTATGCATAGCCTAACAGTCCTCTAATATTGCATGATAGAAAAGCATCAGAGAATCTTGCCTACTTTCCTATTTCAACAGAGACCCAGTAGGGCTGATTGTAGTTGGCTATGCATATAAAAAAAGAGATGAATGAGCTAAAGGATTCCTAAAACAAGAAGCTAAGAACAGTATGTATGTCTTTTCTGTTCAGTTGGCTTTATTCTTTTTTTTATTTATTTCCAAAATATGCCATTTTGCTTTCTTGACTTCAAAGCCCCAGGACTTATCAAATGTGTAAGACATTCTCTCTTTTACCCAAACCCCAATGTCCTTATCTATTAGTAGGTTAACTTAATGCCAGCACCAGGCATGTGATGAGTTTTTAACTACTATTGAAAAGACAAATTGTATAGGATTGACTTTTTTCTTTGTCATATTACTCAAACCATATTTCAGTTTGTGTTAATATCGGTCAAATTCATAGGCTTTAGAAAGCCCAATAATGTCTTCTATTAGCTTTGCGGCATCAGCACATTTTTCTTGAGGTATGTTGAAAGTTGAAAGATAAAGCCAGCTTTTGATTTCTATAGAAATCTTTCACAAACATAAAAGTGGTCTGAAGCTATTGTGCACACAAGTGAGCACAGCTGAGAGACTTCAGTGCTTCAAGTTTGCATCTTTAAAAATTTAGTAATGCTTTAGGGGAAAAAATTGCCTTTCCCCTGCTTTGTTATCTGTTTCTTTGAATTTCAGGATACATTTGTAAATCAAATTGTGTTCAGTCAGGTATTGCTAAAACCAGAAGCTTGAAGGTTTAAGGACTATTGTTCAGCATAGGGTCAGGTTGGTTTGATGTAGAGAAGGTGATTCAAATACCATTCCAAGCTTTTAGGGCAATAATGGAAATATGATTTTATAGAAATAACCGTCTTGTCTGGTGCATACTTTTTTTAAAATTATGGGAAAATAAATCTTTGCAATTATTTATTGACTCTTTTATGTGCTACATATGATGCAAGAACTTTAAGGGCAAGCATGAAATATAAAAACAAAACTAAACAAAATAAATACAAGTTTTCAGTGCTCCAGATATCATGTAGATAGACAATTAAATTTGGATAATATATTATTAAGCACCACAATAAAAGAATACATAGCCACAGTATGTGTATTTCTGGTGATATATTGTGTACCTCAATAAAACTTGCCTGGGGATCAGAGGGCAGAGCCAGGCATTAAATTAGACATAGAGGTCAGGAAGTAGTGGCACACTCCTTTATTCTTATCATTTGGGAGGCAGAGATCCTTCTGGATCTCTGTGAGTTCAAGGCCACACTGGGCAACATGAGAGAAACAGAACCAGACAGTGGTGACATATGCCTTTAATTTCAGGAAGTGACAGCAGGATGGAGAAGGGTATATAAGGCGTGAGGAAACAGGAACTCTCTCTCTCTCTCTCTCTCTCTCTCTCTCTCTCTCTCTCTCTCTCTGCTGAGGATCTTGTAGAGGTATGCTAGTGGCTGGTTGTTCTGATCTTTCAGCTTTCACCTCTATCTGTCTCTGGGTTTTTTATTATAAGACTTTTTTAAGAGTTGTGTTACATATACTAATGACTTTCTAAATTTGCTCAATGGCAATTATATAAAAAGTATATTAGTATTAATGGTAAATGCATTAGCAAAAACTGAGGTGAGGTTTGAAGGTGTTGAATAAGTCCAATAGGATTGCTGACTCTTGGTTCCCTTAGGTTCCAAATGAACTTTGGATTCTGAACGAATGAGAGTAAGCTTCTCATAGCAGCTTCCTCAAGAAACTGTAGCCTCAACCTTCCAACCAGGACAAATGCAGTTCTCCCTCAAACCCCTGATGTATAACTTAGATACTGGATGAATAAAGAAGGATGGTTTTCTTTTATATTCATTGGGGTTCATTTCTGTTTTACCAAACTGTGCTCTTCACCATTCTTCTCATACCATTAAAGCCAACCCACAGCCTGTCTTAGTGCAGATCTTTCTGATTTATGTAGCACTGTTGAAATGGCATTGTTGTCCATTAACAGCTTCATTGACTCAATGGTTTTTGTTGATCACCTATACTCAGTTCAAGCCCTTTTATTAACCTATATTACTGTTCTCAACCACAATATCTTAAGCATAACATTCATTCTAACTAACATAGTTGTTTGCATCCTATCTATAGCCTTGTTAATAAGTCTGAAGAGTCTAATTTTCAGAACAAGGTATATTACTCCATCACTTACTTCTTTTGTCTACCTACAGATGTCCCTCTGTATTTAAAAGATGGGACTGGTATTTCAGGTTTGCTAACAAAGCTTCTCTTTATGAATTGTTTTGAGAATCTAACAGGAACCTCATAATGAAGAAACCACACATTTAAAGCTCTAAGTGCACTAGCTAAGATACTAATATTGACAAATAGGGATAATTAAAAAAGAGAAAGGTTAAGATACAACTGAAAAAAAAAGTGTTCCTACTACAATGTCCCTGGGTGATTCTCTCAAAGAAAGGCATGCAAGGTAGATAGGTTTGTGGGCTCTATCTAAGACAGAGTGTTTCCTTTTGCAAAAGACCTCGACGATGAAGAATGCTTACATCTGCTTGATAACTCACCCTTTGGCACAAAAACAAATGTAATAGCAAGTCACTGTGGGCAGTGGCTCTCATGCTGCATGGAAAACATTCAGCTCAAAGATTTGTCAGCGTTCATCTGGTAAACCCTGTAAAATGGGTGACATGGGAAATTAACAAACAATATCAGATACAAATTTGGTGTTGGGGGGTGGGAGATCATATACTATGACTAATTGAATTGTGAAATTAAGAAGCATTGACGAGTAGGAGGTGCTAGTGTGATCTGATGCATTAAGAAATAAAAACTTATAAAGAATGGCATAGGTATTTTAAGTTTTCCACAAAGAAGAAATAGGATTTCTTGTCACAGAATTGAATAAATTAAAAACAGACAAAATAGGTCTAGAAGATGAACTGAGGTTTCCCAAGTGTCTTTTTTATGAGACTATCTATAAACATACTGTGAGAAGAGAATGGATGCCTCAGAGAACATTCTCTGTTAGGGATATGTGAGGGGCTAAGAATGCTAGGATGAAAGGACTACACAGAGACTGGGTAGTTATGTCAAATATCTGAAAGGTTGCTAAGCAGAAAAGAAAGAGGTTTTTTTTTTTGAGAGACAAAAAATTGAATAGGAATTTAAAGAATATAAACTGACCTAAAATTTCATGCAGAAATCAGGATTCATATTTATAAGCAATACAACTGATATTGTTTAAAATCAGTGAGGATAATGGAACACAGGCATTCACTAAGAAGATTGCAATAAAGAATGGGCTCAAAGCACAAGAAGGAATGGATTAAGATTGAAGAGCATGAAACAGCCCAGTGGTGCCTGCCATCCCTCTCAGATCAGACAGCAAGGCAGCTGCTGCTGTGATCCCTTGGTCATGCTTGCAGTTTCAAAACGTTTCTGAAAATTTGAAAGGCCTTACTAAAAAGTCAGAAACCTGTAGGTGATACTATCTAACCACCCAACTTAGCATGAAAAATGCTTGTCTTTCAACAATATACAATACTAAGGGTTTCCTTCACATTTAACTTGAATTATAGTTTTACAAATGTTTCCTTAAGGTTGTCTTGGTGGTTATGTCTATAACCCCAGAATCCTGGAAATCTGAGGTAGCGAGATAAGAAAATTGCCAGAGGCTCAGAACTAGTCTGTATTCCATAATAAGTTGTAGGCTACCCTGAATGCCAATGTGTGACCCTTCCTTCTCTATATAAAATCAAATTAATTATTCCAAAAAGAAAGATTGTCTTGATGAGAGAATGATCTCTTTTGCTTGGATCTAGAATAGCTCCTATAACTTAACATTAGCCAATGATCTCATAAATATGTGATTAATGAAGTCAACCAACTGCCTGTAGTATGTTTATTTTAAGTAATAAATAAAAATATTGGGAATGGTTGTTTTCAAAACATATCAACTACCCAGAGAAAAGAAGTAACCTAATACAGTAACTGTTGTTTGTCTATTTTTGCTACCCATCCATCATGACTTTTCAATTAATCTCATCCAATTTTGCAATTGAAATGATTTTTAACCAAGAATAAAATAAACTCAAAACATGTACTCATAGGAGAAAACAAGTTGGAATTCAGGAGCCTGAATTTCTAAGAACTGAGTTCCATGCATGTCATTTAAATTTCTACAGAGGGAGTCCAGACATTTTGGGTCCTTCAGAACAGAAAAGGTTATGCTTCACCCTTTAGCCCTTAGGAAATGTTACATCTGTGACATACCACTTTACACGTGTAACACCATAACACATGTCAAAATCCCTTTAAATGTCAGGAGTGTTTTGTATCTCAAGTCATGTCTTCTGCTTTGCTATTTCTCAAGTCTTATCATTTATCTCACCTCTCATGGTTACAATATATGTTCTTACTTATTTTCAATTTTCTTATGAGCATTCAATTTTCACCCAAAAATCTATGGAAATTCTAATTCTGAATACTCTGTAATGTAGCTTTTTATAGATATAATTAGAAAGTCATACTATGGGATTTACCAAAAAATCAGTATGTGTGGCCTCAAACTAGAGAGGGAACAACATGTCTAAATGATCAATTTTGTTGTTCCAGTAAAATCATTAGAGATGACATTGGGTTTTCCTAAGTTAATGCCATTTTAGTCCAAGAAATGTAAAAATCTTAAGAACCCACTGTTTCTTTCTTTATATTCTTTTTATTCTTGTCTCATATATTTTATCCTCACCATTATTTCCCCTTCCTCTGCTCCTTCAAGTCCTTCTCCCCAAACTTTTTTCACCACCAGATCCACTCCTCTGTTTCCCTTCAGAAAAGAGAAGGCCTCACAGGGATATTAACTGAACACAGAACAACAAAACATAGTAAGACTAGGTGTAAACTCTCATATCAGGGCTGGACTAGGTAACCCAGTAGAAGGAAAAGGGACCCAAGAGCAGGCAAAAGAGTCAGAAACACTCTGACTCTCACTATTAGAAGTCCCACAAGAACACCAAGCTACATAACTATAACTTATATGCAAAGGACCTATTTCAGACCTATACAGGCTCCCTGATTATCAGTTCAGTCTCTGTGATCCACTATGAGCCCTGCTTAGGTGATTCTGTTGACTCGTGTTCTTGTGTTGTCCCAGACCTCTCTGGCTCCTACAATCTTTCCTCCTCCTCTTCTGTGGGGTTTCCCTAGTTCTGCCTAATGTTTGGGGTCTCTGCATTTGCTCCCATCAATTACTGGTTCAAGCCTGAGTGATGATAGGTTAGGCTCTGGTCTATGAGCACAGCAGAATATCATTAGGAATCATTTCCTTTTTTCTTTTTCCTCTCTCTCTCTCTCTGGCAGTGGTGCCTCATTCTATACAAGGTTTCTGCGCTATCCTGGCAGTGTCAATCATGAGCTCCCTCTTTTGGCATAGGCCTCAAGTTAGACCAGTCATTGATTGGCCACTTCTACAAGTTCTGCTCCACCGTTACCACAGCACATCGTGCAAGCAGGACTAATTGTAGAACTTAGGTTTTGTAGCTGGCATCTAAGTTCTACCACTGGAAGCCTTGTCTGGTTACAGAAGACAGCTGGCTTAGGCTCCATATCTCCCATTACTAGGAGTCTTTCTAGGGTAGTGTAGTGATATATTGTAGATCCCAGAAAGTTTCCATTGCACTGGGTTTCCACATCTCCCCAGAATGTTCCTGAATTCAGTTGTCTCTCTCAGGACTATCTATCTCTCTCCATCCTCTCTCCCAAACCCCACCTCCTATTTCCATCCTGACCTGCCCCCTAGTCAACTTGCAAAATTTATTCTATTTCTCCTTCCAAGGGAAACAGATGTGTACCCGCTTGAGTTTCTCTGTTACTTAGCCTTTCCGGGTCTATGGATTATAACATTATTAGGCTTTCAGTAACAGATAATAGCCACTTATAAGTAAACAAATACCATTTTTGTCTTTAAAGTGTCTTTATTTGCAGATGATATGATAGTATACATAAATGATCCCAAAAATTCTACCAGGGAACTCCTCCAGTTGATAAACACCTTCAACGAAGGAGCTGGATACAAGGTTAACTAAAAAAAGAAAAAAAAAAAACTAGTCTTCATGTGTACAAATGACAAAGAGATGAGAAAGAAATCATGGAAGCAACCGAAGGAGAGCATACAAATTGGCAAGAAGTCAAATTATCTTTACTTGCAGATGATATGATAATATACTTCAGTGATCCTCAAAATTCCACTGGAAAACACAGCTAACAAACACCACTAGCAAAGTAACAGGATTAAATAATAACTTGCAAAAATCAGTACCCTCCCTATATACAAATGACAAATGGACTGAAGGGGAAAAGGTACCTTGGAGGTAACTGTAACCAGTCAAGTGAAAATTGTGTAGGACACAAACTGTAAGACATTTAATATAAAAAAAAGAAAGAAACTGAGGAAGGTATCAAAAGGCAGTTGTATTTCGCATGCTCATAGGTCAGTAGGATTAACATAGTAAAAATTAAAAAATGACCACCATACCAAAAGCAATCTAAAGATTCAATGAAAGAACAGTTTTCAGCTTTATATGGAGACACCCACACAAAGAATCCAGCATAGTTTTTTTTTTTTTTAATCCTGAATAATAGAATAACTGCTTTAGGAATCATTGTTCCCAACATCAAATAATGCTACAGAGCAATAGTAATGAAAATAGCACAATATTGGCACAAAAACAGATAAATTGATGAATGGAATCAAACTGAAGACTCAAACATAAATCCATGCACCTGCAGATATGTGCTTTTTGTTAAAGAAACCAAAAATAAGACAGTATTTTCAACAAGTGGTGCTGGTC